ATTTCGTTTGTTTGTTGAAGAACTTTTTCCGGCAGAATAATTTCGCTTGTATTAAATTTCAAACGGGTTTCTAGTTTGCTGGAGTGACTCCTTTTGTTACTTTCTTATTTCTTAATTCATGGTTTAAACAAATTTTCTCTCTGAATTTCTGAATCAGTGTTGAATGAAAATTTATAATCTTATTCAGTATTCAAGACAACTTGTCACGGAGAAATCTAGCCTGGTCCAATAATTTCAGAAACGACCTTATGGAATACAATCCGACGCTCTACTCATTGAGCTAAGCGTATTGGGTACACATGCATAATCGGTGTTGGAGCGCCCTTCATCTTTTATTTTCTGTAGGAGTAATTTTACCTTGGTTAATTGTATCATTTCTTCAAAACAGCGTTCCGTGAGCTATTTATAACACGTCAATGACAAGGAAATATGTCTTTAAATTTGATTAAACGCCTATTTGGGTCAGCCATTTTTCAGTAATTGAAAGATAAAAAGTATACCTAAAGAGGACTACGAAGGAAGCATTTAAAAATGTAAAAATGAAAAATATCGCCTGAACGTTTGTATTTCTGTAGGAGAAGGTTATTTTCGAAGGGGTGAAGTAATAAATTGTAAAATATTTGCTCTTTTTCTTAATGCATTACATTCACATCGTATTATGATTTTAATCAATACCAAATATTTTAAGTCTTGGAAAAAGATTGTACCAAAATGAACCAAAACTACATATGAACGGACGCACAGACGACTATAATTTCCATATACTCGTTTACATAAATACTAACTATTGTAATTAATGCTACATTCAAAAATTGTTAATTTTAAAGCCAAAAAAAAAAAATTCAATGGACATGTATACATTTACAGCATTAATCCTACCCAAAGTAGTCATATTTCATTGACGAATTTGCCGTCGAATAACATATTTTATATCTAATAACATGATAAATTTCAAGTGAATATTTTATCCCAGACACTTTAAATTCACTGCACGTGAGATTTAGTAATAGTCAGCAGTTAAATATATATGTAATACTTATGTTTATTTTTTCAATGAAAAACTAAACTGCGTTAAAATAATTCCGTGTGATTCATTAACAGATGCGTGTGTTTCTTTTGACAGAGCGGAAATTCCTTATAAAAGAACATTTAAATGTTGAAAAAACAAAATTGTGATATAAGAATAAACATTTGAGTTGTAGTATTGGAATTTCCCGGACAAAGAAAAAAGCAGTGCTGACCTGCTTCAACCTCCTGGAGATTAAACTGTATTTTGACGTATATAGAGTAGGTAATTCTTTATGGCATACTTGTTATTTTCTTTTTTTGTTAGAAAATACTCGAGTTGGTTGTACCATCATCATTTAATATTCAGTTTAAAATGCTAGTGAATATCTTCCATCTATAGCTATTTATACTTTATTCTTACGGGTATATATAAATGAATGTATAAAAACGCCTTGCAGACCTATTAAAATCCCTGTCTTGATCAGTTGAATGAACAATAATACTTAGCAATAATGCCACTGTCTAAATTACTGAAATGAATAATTTGATCAAATCAAATTACTGGCTTATGATAACTATGGCGAAGCTAACTGTGCATTTGTTTATGTTTGTTTAAGTCAATTTTAGGAGAGCTCTATTAATATTAAGTAAAGACGCTGGGGTAAATATTGGTTCCGCTGAACGGAGAGGGAATCTAAGTATTTTATTTTAATACATAGAAAATGGGCATTAGTCCTTTGTTACATGTTACATGATATGTAAAATATTCAAATATTTCCCTTGATTTGAGTGCTGCATTTGACAATGTTGATCATAGCATTTTGAGCTTGTATAAAGTGTCCTCCAAGAAAGGTTTAGGGTCCTTGGATCTATTTGATCTATGCTGGGACGATATTTGATATTGTGTCTCCATCTAATCCCGTAACTGGATTTGCCGATGGCCACACGGCTATCAAACGCATTAAACCACCATCCGAGGAAACGAGTCCGTAGACATGAACGAAAACAAGCTGAAAATGAATAACATTAAGACTGACTAATTAGACGCCGCGTGCATTCGTTCATTCAGCTTTGGGGAAGTTTATTCTTGCTTTTGTTTATTTTTTATTTAAACAAAATTACACTGTTTTCAGATTCTGTAATAAAAATAACTTTTCTGATGTACAACATGTCTCCGAGCTTATTAAGATAAATGTTTCACTTAAGTGATAGTGCCATGTTTGAATATCATATTCTTTTCATTTTTATCTTAGTAAATAACGTGTCAATGAGCAAGTCTATATTCTAACCACGGGAACCAAATTTGTGCAGGACCAGGGGTATGACTAATATACGCAACGGATTTTTTTGGCGCAAGGGGTGCAACAGACATAATTTCTTATTTGCAAAACAAGCACAAGCTTATTCGTGAAAATAATTAACATTTAAGTTAAAAAAATGAGTGAAAGATTTAAGTTTGTTTTAAAATGTATCACAAAATGGCCATGAAATCGACATATTCTTGGGGTAACGGAGATAATTTCCTATAAAAGGAACATTGGATATAAGCCACATTATCAAATTAAAAATTGAATCTATATATATAACATTTAGTATCAACATAAAAGTTTGTTGTAAAATTCAATAGGAATTTTTTTTTATTTTTAAGTTTTAGTAGGTCATACTTGCCTGCGAAATGGACATATTTTGGGATCTCAGTGCAACGGAGATAATTTTGTATAAATACCACCATGGATGTTTAAAAATTACAATTTTCAAACTAGATTTATTCTACGTTTTGAATATAATATCATAATGGAAGTTTTTTTTTAAAATTTAAAAGGAATATATATTTTTCAAATTTTTAATGTTTTGAAGGATTATATATGCCGGCAAAATGGACATATTCTCGGCGCAACGGAGACATTATTTTTCTGTACCTCTGTCTTTGTCTTGAAATGTATTTTAAATATACCAATCATTTCATTTCAATTGCTATTCAATCTATTCTGCTTCAAGCAGACCTTTAAATCTTTATCCAACAGACAAACACTTCAGAATTTCAGATGTGCAACATTATACAATATATATTGGTGCTTTCTAAGATAAACCTATAAATTGTAAAGAACGTATTAAACAAAAATGTAAAACTACCATGCTTAAATATTTTATGATGAAGAGCATCCGCTAATATTTTGTGTTCTGGTGCCACTGAAACACTTGTTATATCTCTTGCAATATTTCATAGTAATTTCGCAAATGCAAACTGAGTTCACTAAACTTGACATATCCAAAACATGTGTCCTTAACTTGTATCGATCAAAATTCGATAGCTCGAAGCAAACATTTATACTGGCTTCCAATTAAAGCTTGTATAAATGTCTAAATGATAGTATATAATTTAATGCATGTACAATTATTTTATTGAATGCATTAACTTACTTAATCAATCAATCAATCAATCAATCTGTTGAATACTCAAATCTCAAAACGCTCTTAAAGATCCTTCAATCAGCTAGTGGGTGTTATGTAATGGCATTTAATAGACATAAGACTTTTGTCAGATAGAAGTTTAAGTGTAATATACTTAAAATTGTGGAATTAACTTCCTAGAGACCTTAGACAAAGCAAATCTGTAGAAATTTTCATGACACACTTGAAAACTTATTTCTGTAAGTGCTTCTTTTCCTTCTTCTAAGCACTGACTTTAACGGTAAGATATATACTTTGAACTTAAAACTGTGGTTACAAAACTGTCATATATAATTGCAAAAAATGTACTTTACTGTAATCTTTTATTTTACACTTTTATTGCATGAAGTAAATTTATATTTGTGTGTATTGGTGAGAATTTTATTCACTAATGTGAATGTCTTTTAAATATGTACATCGGCATTGAATATGTTTTGTACGTAGAAATAGGTGTTTTATCGAATGGTAGAGATATTTGCTTGTAGTTATTGTGCAAGGACGTCTTTCTCTCACTGAGTTGTTTAAATAAGATATGGGCCGCCCCATAAGAAAACCAACATAGTGCAAAAAATGACGTCACTGAAAAAACGTTTCTTGACTCTGACGACAAAATATGCACGCTTTTTACCAATTTACCGCGTACACAATTCCTACTTACCACTGTGAGTGCGCGTCGTCTCGCTCAGTATATCTATGGTGATATATTTTCGACGCAGGACATAAACTCCAGAAATATATGTATAAATAAAACGTTTTCATCAAACCTTTACATTACATAATGTTTAAATCAAAGGTAGCTCCACTTAAATTTACGAACCGACACGTTATGCCTGTCCGCTCTCGTCTTAGCAGTGGCTTATTAAGAATCTATCATGCGTTCGTTTACGATATATATTTATTATAGTAGAATATTTGTACGTATCTATCTCTTAATAAAGAAAGATTGACATTCACAATACAGCTTTTTAAGTGATTAGTAATTTATAAATGTTAATCAAATACTCGGTTTGGCAATAAACCACATCATTTCTTCATCTCGTATTTATTTTAATTATTTGAAATAATTATTCAGATAATACTAATAAGAATGCAAGAATGTGCGTACGTTTTTTTTTTCACTGCAGGGATGTTCAGCCCTGTCTTCTTAAGCTCCTTTTTTAGTCAACACGTTATCATGGTTAATGATATTTTTGTAATTGTATATAAATGCATTAACACGGACCAAGTACAACGATCCGTAGCGTCACAGTTTAAACAAAAAACGGCCACATTACCAGTAACTGTTCGATTATATGGCATGAAAAGTAAAAAGGGACTCACTAATACAGACAAGCAATCGAAAATCTGTGGAAAATAAGATATGAACACATCGGCCATACTATTGAAACAATAAGAAATAATGGAGCAGGCGGCAAGCAGCGCAACGGCAGACGTTGCTCAATGACGTACCGTAAGATCTTGTATGTTGTGATCAAAGTGGTAAACCACACTAAGTGAAATTATAAATACGTACATAACTAATTAAATTCATATTTCAGATTGGAGTGACAATGCAGTTAAGTTTAATCGCCAGCATTTCTCTGGTGTGTAATTTTGTTGAAGCTTTAGATGTCAAAGTAGTAGACCTATCTTACGAGCTTGGACCAGAAACATTGTTCTTCCCAGGAAATCCACCATTTGTCTCAACTATTTTACATCGCGGTAACACTGGAGCACACTGGTAACACCTTTTATATATTCAATGTTATGTTTATGGTAAATACGAGGGTTGTCCAAAAAATTCGTGCACTGCAGTAATTGTCGTGAGAGTTATAAATAAAAACAAATGAATAATATATCACTTGAAGGGGAAATCTGTCTCAAATGAGAAAACAAAAGAAAAAGCCGGGTAACCGGCGTGTCGTGTAAAAGAATGGTCATTAAGTTACCTTAGTAGCGTAATACCGGCGCACGGCAAAACATTGGGTTAGTTTATTACTGTAATTGTATTAATTGTTTGTTGCTTGTAAAGTGGCATTTGCTTTTTATATTAAATTTGTTTTACTGTCAAAAGAGGAATGATTGGTGCAAAGTATTTTGTAGTTTTTATTGTTCTTATGCAACGGACATGTAACATATCCCACCAGTGAACGAATATATTGGACAACCCTCGTCACATAGTCCTGCATTACGGACGGACGTCTGCCTGACCGGTTGTCATCGTCTACCGACTCTCGCTCTTCTACAGAGCGTTTGTGCCATTTAAAAACCAGCCTTCGTGACACTGAACTTGTCCCCGCTTGCCTTTTTAAGTTCTTCAATCAAACCGAGCCTGCAACATTTTCAATTTTGCCGTGTTGGGCTTTCTTTAGGGATTCTGTATTTATCTATTTTGTAGGTATCTGTTTGTGTTTTACCAATATTTGCACAAAATGTAATGATCGTCCGTATTTCCAGACATTTAGAGACTGACATTTTCACGTAATATTGACGACCTCACAAAAATGTTTGTTTACGACCGTTACAATATGGCAAATGACGTAATATTTTATATTGACGTTAGGAATACGTACTCATACTTTTCCCTGAAATTTAACGTTTATATGTAGTGTTTAAAGAAAACCGTGATGCATCAAAGTAAGTAACTAACCCAATTTTTTGTCGTGCGCCGGTATTACGTTACCAAGGTAACTGTATGACGATTCCTTTTCAAGACACGCCGGCTACCCGGCTTTTTCTTTTGTTTTCTCATTTGAGACAAATCTCCCCTTCAAGTGATATATAATTAATGTTTTTCTATCAAGAACTCTCACGACAATAACTGCAGTGCACGATTTTTTTGGACAGCCCTCGTACATTGCAGCGAACAATAAAATAAGTAGAAAGGTAACATATTAAATGGTAGCGCTTTTGCAACATTCTATCCATAATAAAAAAATGTTGAATAGACAGTATCCGAAAATATCAGAAAATTTCCTTTTTTGGTGTATAGATATTACTTTGTTGTAAACCCAATAAAATTCAACAAAAGTTATTCACTTTGATTGTGACAGTTGACTTTATTAGGTATGAGATAAACAAGTTTGAAACAGCAGAACACGGTGGGACTCATATTGACGCACCCTCCCATTTTGCCGAGGGTAAATTGAGATTACATGAAATTCCAATGGAGAAATTAATAGGACCCGGGGTCATCATTGACGTTAAGGTAGGGGTTATTCTTTCTTTTTTGTTTAAGCTGGTTATAAGTTTTAAGAAAAAGTAACTGGATAAAAAAAACTGGTATAGAACATTTCGAAATAATTGAACATTTGTCAATGTTTATATCTAAGAAGACATGAATACATGCTTTGGTTGTCGAACGTTTTACTGGTTTATTTCTTATTTATTTTGTTTACCAGGTGATATAGCTGGCATCTGTTACTTTTATTCACTTCCTTACAACCTTACAATTGATAGCATTATTTAAATATACTAGAATGTATGATAAAATTGACATCTTAAGTTATTAAGAAGTATCATTATAATACTTTTAGGAAAAACATCATTAATTATAAAACCAACGAAACGTTTTTAAAGGAATACCTAGTTAGTCATTACGCTATACGTATGTCCATCCTTATGTATCTTTTACCGTTTAATGGATTATCAATGTGAAAAAAGGTCACAGTCAATAGTCAATGTTTTAAGTCATATAATAACTTGTTCACTTTAGTGCTAATTTGTAGAATCTAAATGCATTTATGTTTGAAAACTACTTCAATTCTAGGATAAGGTAGCGGGGAATTCAGATTACAAAGTCAGTATTGGTGACATTATGGCGTGGGAGTTGAAACATAAGAAAGTTCCTGAATGTGCAATCGTTATCATGAACTCTGGATGGGGTGCAAATTATCCAAACAAAACACTTACATTTGGCACCACGACTCCAGAGGACCAATCGACCTTCCATTATCCAGGCTGGCATAAAGAAGCAGTTGATTGGTTAATAAAAACTAGACGGGTCTGTGTTGTTGGTGTTGACACCCCTTCGACTGATCCCGGAGATTCAACTTCCTTTCCGGTTCACCAGACACTTGGTGCAGCAAACGTTCCGGGGCTGGAAAATGTTGCCAATTTGGATTCAGTTCCAGAGAGTGGTTCCATTATATATGTGGCGCCTATAAAACTGAAAGACGGAAGTGGAGCACCAGTGAGGATGTTTGCTACATTTCCGAAATCGGATATACGTACAAGGTATAATCAAGAACTTTAATATAATTATGCTATTAAGACATTGTTTTTACCAAATTATTTAAAATCTGATTAAAGTTTTTAAAAAGTATAATAAAAAACAATAAATGAATAAGAAAGAAGAAAAAAAGGAAAACAAGTACAGCCTTTTTGTTGTTCATTACATAATCCATTTGCTTTTGTTAAAGAAATGACCATTAAAACGACCCCTTAGCACTCTACTATAAATATTGAAACAATGAACTTATAATGTTTCAACCCAATCAACCGATTAAAAAGTAAAGTTTGTTAACTTTTGTGAAGTTTATACCAAAAATAGTTCCTTTAGTAGGCAACATATTCTTACAAAATAACATTATGACGGAAATATAAGTAAATTGTCGGAGTTACAAGTTATGTTGGAATAATTGCATAAATAATTCATGTAAATTGTAATTCACTCACCAGAGCGTACACATTCAACTACAGTGTTATTCATAATGTAATGCATTGCACTTAGCAAACTTTATACCATCAATTGGTATTCTATAACCAGCCTCAATATTTAATCTATGTGGTGACTGAGATAATCTTATTTTTATACGTTGTTTAACTAAATATGAAATAACTCTTCATTAAAACTTGCTTTTATTTGAAATAAAACAAAAATATTGAAAGCTGATTATTTGTCTTGTTAAATCACTTTGTTTAGTGTGTACATGTAGGTCCAAAATAGAAACATCAATAACTTTTACATACATTTTTATATGCAAAACGCAATTCTTCTAAATATGCCATAGTGATAAGAATTGTGAGTTTTCTCTGTATTTAAACTTAATACAAAAGTCCACAGGTCTACGAGTGGGATCGCTTACAAAAATTGATGTAGCACTTTTTAAACATTAAGATTCAATTGGACATCTGATTCAGCAAAAATTCTAGGCATTCTTTTCTCGTCGATTTACAAAAAAATACAGATATAAATTTAGCACCAAAACGAAGAAACTTTTGTATTTGCTTATAATAATGGCAACACAGAAAGCTGACCCTTATTGGTAAAGTGATTGTAATAAAAACATTTGCCTTACCTAAACTGTTTTTCAGTTTTAGAAAACCCATCAAATGATAAGATAAAAAAAAATAATTAAAACAATGTTACTGTTTCTGTTGGATGGCAAGCCAGAAAAAAATCAAATGTAAAACATTAAAACTAAATATTAAAAATGGTGGTTTAAAAATGATCGATATTAATACCTTTTTAAAGAAGTAAAGGCAAATTGGATCAAACGATATATAAATGAGGACAATAAAGGATTATGGAAACTTTTAAAAAAAGATAAAACAGTATGGTAAAGACCTTATATTTGACTGTAATCTTTCGAAAAATGATATCAATAAGCTATTTCCTCATAATTCATTCATTAACAATGTGTTTTCATCATGGTTTCATATTGAACAAGAACACAATAATAAAAAAGATAACCTTTAACATATTATATGGAATAATTCGAATATTAAAATTGATAATAAATTGGTGTATTATAAAGCATGGCACAATAAAGGTATTCTATATTTAGAACATCTAAATGATTATAGGAAAAATGAACTCTACAAATTTGAAGACCTTAAAAATATTTATATTATGGAAAATGCTGTGTTTTTATAATATTACGTGCTTGTGAATAATATATCAAAAGATTATCTTGATGGTCTGAAACCTACAAAAAATTATAACGAAGTACAAGATACACTCGTAAATAAAGTTAAAAAATCAAAATGTGTAAATAATCTTTTATATAATATTCAACTTGAAAATGATAAAAGGTTAAAAAAAACAAATGAAAAGAAATGGGAAAAAGAAATAGATACTGAATTGCATTGGCATAAAATATATATGGTTCCATTTAAAGGTACTACATATGTGTCATTGAGAAAGTGTTCAATACAAATTGTTTTAAAGACTAATTCCAACTAATACAATGTTATTTAAATTTAGCCTTTAATTGTTACTCAAATCTATGTGATTTTTGTGGTTGCAATTTAGAAACGCTTTACCATCTTTTTTGGGAATGTACTATTATACAAAATTTATGGTCAAAATTACATTCTTTTCTCTAATCAATCAATATTGATTTCTCATGTAATTTAGAAACAGTGTTTTGAAGAGCTGAAACACAATATTAACAATATTTTAGCAAATTATATCATCATACTCATGAAATATTTTATCCTTAAAATGAAATACCAAAAGCATGAGCCAACTTTTGATATTTTCAAAAACTTTTTGCTATTGAGAATACAAATTGAGGAGGAAATTGCTTTCTAAATGATAAAGTTGAATCAAACAAACAACACTGGAGTAACTTGTTTAACATCTAACCAACAAACCAACAGTAAGGGAAAGTTAATAATAAATTCAAAACCATAAAACGTAAGAAAATTAATTTAAACTAGTTCGCTTGTTCCTTTTTTTCGTTTCTGTTTTTTTTTGTGTTTGTATGAATGTTTTTGTATGTATGTGTTTATATTGTTATACTTAAAAACAACTACAAAAAACCCACACACACAAACTCAACAAAAATGACAATAACAAACTATCTATAAAAGAATAAAGGTAATGAAAAGTTGATCCCTACTGGTCCACAATAGTGTTTGTAATCCTTAAAGTATTTCAATGTTATACTTCCAATATTTATTGTTCGCCTTATTCCCTGCGGTCCGGAGACCGCAGGGTATTGGTACGCGTTTAACTTTTGAGGCATGGAGGAGCACGTGACCAGTTTTCGGTACATGGAGAAGCATGTGATCTGTAAACCGTACACGATTGGTTAATTGACCTTTTCGATAACCTGGCTAAATACCGTTTGTCGTTACTTTACGGAATTACCTCTAAGGAATTAGTCAGAATTTAACCTAATTAAGAACAAAAACCTATTACATGATATTTCTAATTTTTCTATAATTATTTTACCGTTTAAGGTGGTAAAACTTGAATGATTTATTTGAAAATTATCATTGTTTCTTTAATATATGTATCTCAAATTTTACAAACAATAAATTGTTTATACATGTACTGAAAATCTACAAAATTGAAATATTCGTAGTGGTATCTGCCATAATAAATAGAGATGTTTTCTGCGTAAACTTGTGTGTTTACTTTATTTTTTTTGCTTTTAATTATTCATAATATGGTAGGCCTATTTAATCATTTTCTTAAAAAGAAATAATTGTTTTATGTTCGACCTTCTCCGGTCATCCACGGTCACCAGTTTCGAAAGACCTTCTTCTATATTGATCGATTATTGTCAACTATATTCCTGATATAAACGTTTATTTATTCCCCTCTGCCAAAACGGTGTTGAAAATAGTTAAATGAAATATCTTTATATCATGAAAAATGTTCCCCGCAGAAAACCATTTTACTTGTTTTTAATTTGCCAATGACCTCAAACCTGGCGCACATATAACCGAATTTTACACACCTCCCCGACTTTTAAAGGTACTCCACTGAGGTACGGCCGAATGTCACAAAAAAAAGTAAAATTTCACGAACCGATATTTTTTTGTTACCTGCGAGTTAGGGACATTCAAACAGAATCAGTGATACATTGATATGTTTTCTTTGGATTGGCAAGTCGTTTGAAATACATATTTTCTCCAATTTTGTGGGAAAAGCGTTTAAACACCTTTCAGTTTGCAAATCTGAATAAAAACAACGGTCACGTGATAATTCTCGGGATGACTAAAAAGCGAAACGGAGAATTTTTTGTGTATCGGCAGCAACGAAAGTGCGAAACCGGAATATACCAACAATCCATAAATTTAAAAGCAAATAATGGGTTTGTTTGTTAAATTTCTTGTTGTTCACATATGTTCTTGTGAGAAAAATCTTTCAAAAGCAATTTCAATATATTTAAAGCATTACATTGTTGTAATCATGTTTTTTTTCTCCATTACAATGATGAATTTAGCTAAACGTACGGAGTTCGAAACTGACATACACAAATTTTACAAATATTCTATGTTAATTTGAGAGCTTTCATGTAATTATTAAATATTATGTATTAACTTTGTAATGGTTAAAATATCATGATATCTAGGCTAAGAAAATTTACTTTGTCAATCAGTGTAATGGGTCCTATTTCAAAGGTCACTTTGGTTTATCTGACACCCGTTCAGGAAAAAAAAACTTCGTAATACCTTTTATACAACGAACATGAATTTGAGTATTGTAAGCATAAAAAATCACATGCACACACAATGTTATTCCCGAATTTTCTCTTTAACTCTAATCAAAGCACTGAAAGCACTGGCTAAATAGAGAATGAATCCGGCCTCATTATAGGACATTTAGGCTTCAACTTTATTAGATAATATTTCTAATGTATGTCTAGTGCACATAATTAAAATTCTTTAAGAAAAAATCGATCTCCTTTGCTAGATAGATCTGAAATTTAATATTTATCATTTTACACACATACTTGCATATTTATCCGCATTGGATGTAAACTTTGTTGATGAAAAGATTACTATGTTTTGATCTAGACATTCAAAACTATAGGTAATTGATACCTGTTTCATGCACATGGTAAACATTATCAAGAAGGTCGGAAAAGAGTTACAATCTGGCTCTATTAATATTATTATTATCATTATTGATTTAGCAGATATCCTGATAAATTTTTTCTTATTGGAAGGCCTCCGTACTAGTGATGGGTCAATTGAGCTGTGCTTTAATGTTACCAATATATTGAAAGCTTCCCGGTGGAAAAGAAATTGAGAGCGTCATAAGAGTAAAAAAGGAAAACTGGAATAAAGACAATCAAGGCGACGGCAACGTTCACATGACGCAGCCCCCGACATAGTCAAGCTTCCACAGCAGGGTTATTGCCATGACTTGTGAAATAAACTAAAAACTGATTATATAGTTGTTGTTTTTTAAACCCTAACTTTCTTTCAAATTAAACGAAACAAACAAAATCATGATACAGCAAGACAAATGTGAAGGGCAGGTAAGTAAAAGTAACTTTAAGAATTCAGTAAGATATTATTAACCTCACCTCATACA